CCAAAACTGAACCAGAACAAAAGGAAATTGTGAACACTTTCAAGATACAGCATAAGCTTATCCGCAATGCCCAAATGTCACCTTTTATCATGGTCAGAACAATATAGACACCTGTAAAACTCAGCCAAGTGAGACTTTCAAACTCAAATTTATGCTTGATATGTCAGAACTAAATTGGTACATTTATAGACCAGTTGCGTGAGTGCAACATAGTAGAATTGTTTTGGAATCCAGCAATAGACTTGTGAATTCATTGTTAAAATGAAATACACTTGTCTTGCTCAGAACAGATTTCTTAGGAAGCATGCCTATCTCCTTACAATATTTGTCTCAAATAATTTAATAAATTCAGCTACTAAAATAAGATCTTAATGGGTAATTCAATTCAAAATGCCAAAATAAAATTATTGCAAATAAAGAAACATATACAATTACACTCATATTCAGAAACTGCTTTGTGATTTTGATGAAGACTCAGAAACAAAATATTACTCTTAATGGCTTTAACAGTGCATTTCCTTTATTTCTTCTCTTTTACTTCTCATTATCTCTGACCTGTTTCCCCCTCTTCCACACTGCTACTTACATCTCTGCCATTTCTACTTTACATTTCAATGAGATTATGAATTTATGATTTGAAGAGATAAATACACACACATATACTATAAATTGTATTGTACTGTTTATTTGCACCTTGTAATCTTGTACTTAGGAAGAATAAACCTTAACAATAAAGCTCTGCCAAATAGGTACTATAATATATAATAAAATGTATTAAAATTTATAAATAGGATAAGAAGATTTGGAGAATTTAAATACCATGCAGTTACTAACGAAATACCAATGAAACAATTTGGGGTTAATTGGCATAATTCTGAACATAACAAACAACCATATTTAGTAAACCAGTAGAGAAGACCTGCACAGGCCTTGATGGGAACGATTCTGAATTGGTTATGATCGAATAGGGGAAAGTCAGAGGTCTTCAGCGTGATTGTAAGCACTTAATTCTGCTAACGGATTTCCAGGAGAAGTTCAGAGGTTATTATTTTATTATTGTAAGATTTTGACCTAGGCTGTATAGCATTCCTTTATGCAATAAAAGTTTAAGCTTTTCTTCCTTACCAGGGGTGAAGTTTGCCTAATCCTGGAAACAGAGTTGAACATGAGACTTAATTAGCTGAATGTTCAATGACATGAAATGTGGTGCCTTCCTCTCAATGTCATGTCTAGGACTGTAAACTTAGAATAATCAAGCTAGTACAATGGCTCTCTCTTTATGTTGGCTACTAGAAAGCTCAGAGCCTAATTTCAGGAATTACTTGCAAATATATAAGACGTCATGGATGCATTCTGTACTGACTTGGCTCTTGGTCCATTTGTTTTCTTCTGCCTAATGTTTAACTTATTTTAACTTGTGTTTTCTTACTATGGTATTTGAATCTTTGTAAATCATGTGTAGAGACATAATCATACCTAAGGATCCCCCCAAAGTATGTATGTTCTATAAATGCTGTCTCATAGCACTGACATTAGTGATCTCAAGTTTCATTCCCTAGAGTGGACGTGAAACACTAAGGATTACCTAATAGTATAGCATAGACTCAATGATTTCTACAGAGTAGTTAGTTTTTCCTCACATTGTACAAGTTGTCTTCCAGCTAAATGTCAGACTGTTTTACATAATCCACAGTGCCACTGTAGTGTAGAGTGATAATAAAGACCCCCTTTTTAAGGTATTGTCTGACACAGATCTGTGCAGAAGCAAATTAGTAACAGAGATGATTTCAGCTGTGCAAATACAGTTAGAGGAAAGCCTGCCTGTTGTAGGCAGTTCCTTAGGAAAGGCAGCAATACGTTAAAAAAATTATGGAAGAATCCACTCTGATTCTGTTGTGAATGGCTAGGAATACGGAAGCTCAAAAAGAAGAGGCTCCAGGCACATGTAAGCCGGGAGACTGTCCAACACTTCCCTTGGCGTGGGAGAATTAGAGCTCAAATCCACTGTCGTCATCTCTCATTTGTTTCATGATGTCAGTCAGTCATTCTTAACTAACCCTTTCTCTTGTAATTATTAAATCACGATCCCCAGCAAGCACTTGCTGTCAAGACTCTCCAGTTCAGAGCAGGGAGGCAACTTCCTCTGAGAATTATTTTTTCTACTAGCTACGTTTAAACTTGCTTTTCAGCTTCCTCCGTAATTTTCTTTGTGACAGCTCTGAGAATGTGAATAATTCTGCTCTGGTGCATCCTTTACCAGCTCTCTTCCTCTTTTTTTTTTTACTTCTTTCCTTTCATCTCCAGCTCCTCCACTGGGGTGATACTGATTTACACCTCACAAGTTTCATCCTACAGTCAGAAGTTGGTGGTGTGACTGACCTCTTAGGTCAGGTATTATTGGCACCTTTAGAAAGCCGTGCCTGTGGCTGAGTGTTTGGTTATGTGGTGCATGATGTGCTGCGCAGAACAATCTGTTACATAAATATCTCCATAGGCGGGG